GGGGGGGTCCTACCTCCCTCTGCCTCCCCCATTGAAATAAACATGACAATTATTGCAAACTGTAGCGGTACTATTCCAGGCCCAGCCTATTTGGCTATTGGGCCTACCAGTAGGCTCGGCCTGTGGTACCAGGCATTGGCCTGTTACAGGCACAGCCTGCTGGCTGAGGGTATCCCTCAGTGTTGCATACCGTAAAGGTGCAGACCAGAACAAGAACCGACCTCTCATACAAAGTACAAGATGGCGAAGCGGAAGACTGTAGATACCAATGATCCGAACAATCAATATTGCAATGCAGCCCCAACATACATCATSATCGTTCAGGGTGTGAAGGGACCTTGCGCTCACATAGGAAGAATGTGCCAGTCCCCGCCATACACAGACGAAGAGGAGGGGGGTTAGACGAAGAAGAGGGAAAGATGGGAATGTCGTCAACACCAAGTCTGTGATACCGGTCCCAAATAATCCTCGTCCAATGTCTGAATCCCAATGTCGAGTCTGGATCCAATGTCGTCAAGTCTCAAGTCACAACTCTCTCTCTCTCTTTGTCGTAGTCTGGTGAGATTGAGAAGTCAGGTGGTGAGAGGGTGAAGAAGAGATGGTGGACTTAGAAGAGGAAGAAGAAGAACTCTCTCTCTCTCTCCGTGTCCAGTACTAACCTGTAAAGATGGCGCCTTGATGCAGGTACCTCGAAGATGGAGCTGGAGCTATGGCGCCACAGGTAAGTACCGCTGGCCTCYGCCAGCCATCTCTYTCCCACGCTACTACTACYAGCTACTAGCGCCCTGCGCTGAAGACTAMTGCTGCAGCTATTAGTGCCCAGCGCTGAAGACTACTGCTAGCGCTAACTACTATTGCAGCGCTCCTCCTKAGTGCTGCGGCCGAATCCTGAAGACTACTCRTGCCTACTGTCCAACTACCTACCCGTGAAGTGCATGGGAAATCCCTATGTACTACTCGGCCTGCCTCCTGACTGCAGGGCGAGGCAGTCCAGGAGGCTGCTCTTGCCAATGCCGCAGGGAGTCAGGGGCTGCCGCTGCAGCTCCTGCTTGAGGCTGGCGTGGGAACAGGCCAGAAATAGCCTGTTCTTGAAACCCTGGTTTTGTGCCTGAGTATTAGGGTAGGTTGATCTTATGAGGGAAAGTGGCCCTCCGTTTCAGGATGAAAAGCCTCAGGGCTGAAAAACCCTGTTATAGGCTGAAAACGAAATAGGGCCTGCAGGCTCTCGTTTTCAGTTTTCAGGCTGAAACGACATGGGGCCTGTAAGCCCTGATTTCTAGGCTTTTAGGCTGAGAATGTGGGAGGAGCCTTGCAGGCCCATGTGGCTACGCAGTATGCCACACCCCACCCTCCTTGAAAGACCGAGCTTACCTGCGAGGGCGAAGCTGTCTATCTGAGAGAGGGATCACAGTCCAGGTGGGAGGGGCAGGCCGTGAAGGTCCTTGAGCTAACCTTAGTCGCTCGTAGTGAGCGTAGATCAGCGGTGCGGATGCTTTCAAATCTGTTCCTGATATCCATCGAGTGTCGTCAGGATCGCATGCTCTGAATGTAACTTTGTACTGTCGAGGCTTGCTGCCGGTCTTGCGATCCGTGATGACGTGGTCAACTTCCTAATGACCATCCATAGATGGAAGGTCATGTGATCGCCGGCCCAGGAAGTCGTCGCTCTTAGCTGGTGTATATGTTGCCAGCGTCGAGGCGTGAAAGATTGGATGGACCGTCAAATGCGCGGGGATGTTGATCACAAATGAAGGGCCATCGGGCTCATCGCCCGCTGCTGATGTTATGGGCCATGGTCCAAACCACTTGGGAAGCAGTTTGCGTGAAACATCCTGTTCAAGTGCAAACTCTTCCGCGGAGAGCCAAACCAGATCATCGACACGGATGGGACATGACACGTGACGCCTGTTTGCTTGCTGTTGCATGCGGACTTGAGCCTTTTGCATATTCGCGCGGGCTTGAGCCAACAGTTTTCTGTACTTTCGGACGGAAGCGGGAGAGCAAGCGSTGTCGATGTCGGCTGGTCGTGGGAGGAGAAGGTCGGCGAAGATACGGCCTTTCCGWCCACCGTGGTGCAACTCGAATGGAGTCATGTCGATCGCCGGGTGCACCGAAGTGTTGTAGGCGAACTCGATGTCGGGGAGGCGGTCAACCCAATCTTTCTGRTCCGGACGGATGAGCGTACGAAGCATCATTTGAGCGGTTTGATGTKCCCGCTCCRTTTGCMCGTCCGTCTGTGGATGYYGAGCCGAACTTGGTTTCATCTTCGTGTCGGACTCCTGCATGAGAGCAGTCCAAAATGCCGACATGAAGCGAGTGTCGCGGTCGCTGACTATGTCTTTCGGTACATCGTGGCCGAAATCCAACCGGTGTGCAAGAGGTGTGCCAGCTCGGGAGCCGTGGAGTAGTACTTGCAAGGGAGAAAACGCGCATACTTACTCAAACGGTCCACAACCGTGAGGATGCCGTCGTGCCCGAGGCGATCACGGGGAAATGGTCCGGTGACATCCATGGCAATAGAGAGTTTGGGCTCCCGTGGGATAGGCATCGGGCGCAACTCGTCGTAGGGGTTGCGATTGCGGGGCTTGCTGCGTCGGCAAACTTCGCAAGAGTCGCAATACCGAGTGACATCGGTAATGAGGTCGGGCCATCGGAATCATTGTCGAAGTCGTGCAATAGTGCGGTTGACTCCGAAATGGCCGGCGAGTTGCGAGTCATGGTACTTCCCGAGAAGGCGAGTCTGAAGACGACGGTCTCGTGGGACACACAATAAGTCCTTGCCTCTCGAGTTGAGGAGCAAGTACCCGTCGACAATGCGATAGTGGCTGGCCGGCGGGTGATCCGAAGATAGTTGCGCATACAAGTGGCGAAATCCGGATCAGACTCATATCCCCGGATGAAGTGTCGATGAAGTTCCTCGTCGAATGCGAAGGCATGATGTGTCATCACGCAAAGATCGGGTCTTCGCGAGAGTGCATCTGCTGCGCGATTGGAGAGGCCGGGAAGATGTTTCGGTGTGAAGTCAAATTGGTCGATGAAGTACATTCATCGTCCGATCGTGCTGCTCACCGTATCCTGCGTCTTGTAGTAGGTCAGTGGGTTGTTGTCCGTGACCCATGTGAACCTACGACGCGCAAGGAGGAAGTGCCGCCATCGCTTGAGAGCCATCACGAACGCG